TTTTGTGTGCACAAGGATGCAAGTCTTGCAAACCATTCCCTTTCGAACGAGGGAGAGGATCCCTTTGATGCAACTGTTGCTGAGCTTGATGATGTTGCTTGCCAAGCTTCAAGGGGTATACAGGATACATTCACCATGTTATGACTGGGACTTGAAACAGGAATGCAGCCCAAATGAGAACTGGCCGGAGGTGTTTGCGAACGCTTTATTGCAAGACATCCCTTCTTCCAATCAAGCTTTCACCGAAGTTATCTCTTTCTAAATCCGAACGAACACAAGGTAACTGAAAGTACAACATTTGTCACCATCATTGAGGTAGAGGCCTCGGTATCTTCATTGTACAATTTAAACGTATCTCTTCAAGGGGAATCATGCAAATGATCTTCTGGTGCAGCACACATGTTCCGCTTGCAGATTGGGGTTCTCAACTAGGGATTCCTATGCGTGTTGCAGGAACCAGTGCTGCGCGCGGGTTCTTGAATGTTTTAGAGCACTTTGAGCACAAAGAAGACACGCAACGATCGTTCCTTTGTCGTGATCACACCCACCGCATTTTCGGATTTGACCCGCCCAGCGGCCCTCTGTTTCGCTCCCTTCCTTTCTCCCGTCACGCAAGCGAGCTCAAAAGGATCAATTCCAAAGGGATCACTACAAAAGTGATAGACCAAAGGGATCACCCCTTTTTTTCGTCTATCACTACAAAAGATCCCCTCCACCTGCCGACTTTGGGTGATAGAATCAATTGGGACCCGCCTTAAAGAATTGCTAGCCTATTGATTTAGGAGGGCGCACACTCCTTTTCTCCCCACCTGAAGACACACGCATCGCAAGCATCATCTGAGTGGTTAGAGTGGTTAGAATTAGCTTAGCGACACAAAGGTTCGAGCATTTCCACACAAGTCTTATTGGTGACACTAGCGCTGAATCGCCTCCATTGATAGTCATTCTCTTGCGGATGGTTTTGGAATGAGCAAAGGATTCTCTCGCTTTTGTTCCCGCTACTCAAGTTTTGTCCTTGTTTTCTCGCTCTAGTTTTCTCATTTCACATTCTTGTTCCTCCACCTTGGACCAACGAAGTTGTGCCCTGGTGGCAGAATGGTTTGCAAGGATAATTACGAGTCTTGCAAACCATTCCTTCTAATTCTTTCTCTACGGCTGAGCGACTACGGCCGAAGGACCCGTCTCACCAAGCCCTGTTGCTTTTCACCAGCCGCGCCATGGAGAAGTGGATCGAAGGGTCGAAGATCGCCCGTGCGACCTCGCCACATCCACGGCCCAGGTCAGAGTCTCCTTACTTGTGGGTGGCCCTTGCAATGTTGGTCCCGGCATGGTCGTGGGCGAGGACGGCACGGGCATTCTGAAGGGGAGGAGGTCGCTCGGGAGGTCGCACGGACGATTTCGCCGGAAGGAGCTGGCCGAGACCATCCGATCTCACCTGGATCTCCAGAAGGAGACACCGAATGTGTGGCACCCAAATGGACAACACACGGAGTGTTTGAGGCAAAGATCCGTTGCTGCGGGGGGAAGTATGTGAAAAATTGAAAAAGAGCAGCAGCAACATACCAAGTTAAACACATTTGGAAAAACACAACGAAAGCAGCATACTGTTGGCCTCTATTGGTGCTGATGTGCACCAAGTGGCCAAGGCCAAATACACCAAGAAAGCCTTGAAGTTCTATGCCTCGCTTGCCTCAAGGGCAGCCGAGCTGCAGGGAGGGGGTGAACTCTCTTGCTTGACCAGTGAGTGGGAGGAAGTTCACAAAGGGACTCTTCAGGCACAAGCTTGAGAGCTACCAATTCTCAGTTCAAGAGGCGGTGGTTGTACTCTTGTCGAATGTCTAGTGGTTCTTTTCGGCAAGGGCGCATTGATGTATCATTATCACTATGATTTCTTCGTGGGCTGTATCCCGGCTTCCACTCCGATTTGTTTGTCTAGACAATCTGCGCTCCGCGCTGTGCTGAGCTCGGCTCTCAGCCGCTTCGCAGCTAGGCCGTCGCTTGTGGCTTCGCTGTGGATATTTTCGCTTGCTCTCTGGACCAGGTGGGTCGACTGGACCGGTCTTGGATCTCTGGGCGACCAACATGTATGAGCTATTAGGGCACGACATGTGCTGAAATAGGCCGGCATCGGGTAGGGCGTGTAGGGATTGACCAGGATTGACCTGATGAAGAGTGAGTACACCTGCTTCCCCATGCGAAAGAATCCGGTCCCGTCTTTGATCTCTAGTCTAAGGCACAAGCAGATTGGACAGTTTGAGTGCTTTCATAGATAGTAGCAGCTACTAGCAGGGCCCCTGAGCAGCGGAGGGATGCACAGGAATGCCAACACGTGGACTGTTGGTGTCAGACGACCTCACAGACCACCTGCAGGTCGGCTTGTATGAGATGAAAGTCATCCCAGACAAAACCGGCGGCTTCATGGTCGGTTCCTCAGTCGTGCGGGTGGCCACTCCCCTGCCCGGGCGGAACAGCTGCCTGGCAGAGCGCCCGCGTTTTTGCTGCAAAATTCCTTGAGGTAATGAGCGATTCCTTCAGTATGCATGTCTTCAAGGTCCGCTCCGCTTAGCTTTTTTCTTTTTCCTGAATGAATCGGGGGACCTCTTGGAGCTCGGTCTTCCTCAGGCTTTTGTGGTGTTTCTTGTTGACCTTCTTGGCACGCGGCGATGTATTCTTTTTGCGCCATGCTCGTTGTTCAAAGTTGCGCATACAAACAACTATCATACTATCATTAAACATACAGTCAAAACAATCATAGTCCTTTCAAAGTCCGGGATTTGGGTTTCGCGAGACTCATGGACCGAGCGGCAGGACTCCTTCCGAAAGGTCTTTGATCCAGATGAGGCACCAGTCATAGAAGGAAACACCGGGGAAGCTGTAGAGGTAGTCTACAGCATATCGCTTGACTTGGACATGGCAACATGGCAACATTGCGAAGCCTTTTGATTGTTTGTTGGGGACATGCCTGTTCGTCCAGCAGCTTTCAATCGCATTTCTGAGAGTGTGAGCTTTTCGAACACGAAGCCGTTGACCCACGGCCGTTTGACCCTGAATCGAAACGAACATGAGAAGAATCATTTGTTGCCACTTGCAACAGTGGTTCACGGGGTTCTCACGGCATTTGTTGGGCCACGCACAGTGAGCCGTCGCCGACAGACCGGATATCTCAAGTTGGGCTTTAATGCGAAGATCGAGGCCTGGGCAGTGGCTGATGAGGAATATCCGGAAAAAGTAGTAAACACTTCCAAGTTGTATAATATATAGTCCCTACTCTAATGGGTTGGAGGCCATCGCTACTAGGTTGGAGGCCATCGCTACTAGGGCTACTAGGGTGGAGGCCATCGACCCTGTATAGTCCTGACTTTGGCCCGGGAATTTGTTGCCACTCTGAGGACCAAAGTACGGAGTCGATTGAGTCGGGGTTCACATCGTAGCATTCCGCCTGAGAGATCAGAACCCTTGCCATTCTAGGCTGCCAGGATTCCTAGTGGCTCATTACCATGGTGCATTCCTCGGATACGCTGCATCCCGTGGTGCATTCTAGCGCGCAGGTTTTCACTTCCAGAGAGTTTAAATGCTGCGGTGCAGTGGGCGGCTTGTCGCCTGCGACCGAGGGGGTTTGGGACAGCAGAGGTTGCCACCAGTGACTACGGACTTCAAAACCTCTTGATTTCATCGACCTTGTCCGCAGAGCGCCGCAGATCCCTGAGGTCTTTGGGCAAGAAGGGCCCATGCGTTGCAGAGACGGAGATTGGTGAGGGGAACACCTGCCAATGGGTCAGGAGAACCCAGAGAATGGCGAACGGAACATGCGACGGTCGGTGGGCCCAATTTCCGGACGGTTTCCAGCATTCCACCGGTTTCGGCGGGTCCGTTCACGGGTCGAAAGGAATTCAAGGACCATTCACTGGTTCACTCTTTTTAGAACATCCCTTTTTGGTGTCACTCAGATTGGCTCTGCCATGACTCGATGGCTGCACCATGCTGGAACCGTTTTTGAGCCTCGGACCGTGACGGCCGCCGCGCCGGGTCAGCGCATGCCCTCGCTCCGATGACGGGGCCCTCCGCGACTGGATGCAGGTGGTGGGTTCCTTGGACCGGAACACGACCATCGGCTTCTACTTCGACATTGCCAACCAGCAGGACGGGTGTTCGACACCGGGGATGAAAAGAGGTGTACTGAAATCCAGGGACCAATGGGGGTTGAAACCCAGGTCTTTGAATGGCGCTTGGTGTCTCATCAGCAGACAGAAACCGTAAGGTCTCGCGAATCCTTTCTTCCAGAACAAGTTGATCGCACGAAGCGAACTCGGGGCTGCGCCGAGTGAGAGATCCGATCCAGGCGAACTCGGTGCCACAGGGAAAGCAAGCCTTTTTGCAGTGAGATCCTTAGCTCGGGTCAAAGAAGCTACTAGGAGCAATCGGACGCTACTAGGGGCTCCTGGCATCGCTACTAGGAGCATTCTTACTACTAGTAACAAGAAGCTAGCTGTCTGGCCACCCCAAACATGACAAGAACTTCGGTCTTCGGCCCGGACACACCGGGCTCGTCGCTTCTGGTGCGTCTCCTTTTTGGAGCCCGGATCGCTCCGGGCTCGTGTCACTGACTGGTGCTTAGTAACTTAGTGTCCGGAATAGAGACATCGATCAACTAAGGTCTTTTTGGTGTGGGCAGGTCATTCCCTCATTCCTTCACCGACTCGTCGCACCAGTCGGTCTCTGGATCAGCGAGGAACAAGGCCGTCCGATGGTGATCGACCGACCTTCGCCCGAGGTTTCAGACTTGCTACCTGCATCCCAGTGGCCGGAAGCGCCTGCGGGTGACCACAGTGTGGGGGGGCCCAAGGGATGCATGACTTGGCGATAGCTTTTTCCTTGTATTTCTCATATTCCTCCTTCACTTGATTTGATCACTCTTCAAGAGCTGGACCTTCTCTTCTGATCGTCAGGTCCAACCGCTTTTCGGATGCACAGATGACAGACATCCAGCCAGGCCGACCGACACCGGGAGATGGTGTGGGGTTCAGGAACTCCCTTGCCTCCAGAAGAACGGACTTAGACCACGCAAGTGGCATTTGGGGGCATTGTCCAACTCTTTTTCTCGACCTTTGGACCGGGTGAACGCGTGAGGCTTTGACCAGGAGGCAGCAGCCGTTCTGATGGCCCGCTATGCCGTTTTCAAGTGTGAGAATGAGGAGATTGGCCCAGATGGGCCAGAGCCAGATGGGTCGCTGCTGCAGTTGCTCTGTTTGGGACGGCAACCATGACGCTCGACCATCATGGTCGAGCCACATTCCATTTCTGAATTGAAAGCAACAATTTGAACATGACACTTCAGTGCTCCAAAGGAATGAATCGAAAGAGAAACAGGGACATTTGGACATGCAGCACTTAAAGGCCAAGGGGCTCACTGATAAGCTCCATGCACTAATGTCACTAATGTATGCCCCACCTGAGGAAGACTGAAATAGCATTGGACGGAGGACCCGCTGGATGTCCTTCGATGGGTTGACAGGATGTTGATTCGACGCTTGGCTGGGATTGAATGGCTCTCCGGATTCCAAGAGCGGAGCACAAGAGCACAACTAACACCATGGAGATATTCACAGCGCAAGCAAGGGGCATCTCTACCAGGACCCTCCAGCAGGTTGCTCTGGGACCCTATGGTTTCTGGGCACCTGCTGTCCTGGTGACCTAAGCTGTTGATCCAATATAAGCCTCCCATATGAGACCATCGACAGTGCACATTGGCTTGATCTTCCCACCTTCCAGTGGATTCCAGGCAGGACCCTGGTGGCTGATCCGAGGCCTAGTCTCCAAATTTGCGAACTTCCGCAAGGTGGGCCGATGTCCATCGTAAAGCCCAGGAATGCGACATGAGCCGAGTTTCATTGGTAGGGGTGTCCCTGCATCAAGACTAATGGTTTGGTAGCTTTGGATCCAGATCAATGGAAAGGCACTTGCAGCCAACACTTGGTCTAATGCCTGATCCTGTGCATCCACATTGCTTTCAGAGAAAGAGTGTTTCGCTTGTCCTCATTTCCTGATGCGTTCCGCCTACGCTGCTTTGGCTCTAAGCCCTTCCATTTTTTATTGCCAGTCAGGCCTGCGCGCAGATTGGGATTTGGAAGGGAGGAACCGTTGCACGCATGTTGCAAGCAGTGAGCATATCCTGTGTTGCATTCGCAAAGCTGTTCAGCAGGAAAGTATTGCAGGCCAGGGCCCCACCACACTTATCAACATGCAACAGTTATTCTCCAATCAAACATTTCTGAATCAACTTTTCCAGGAAAGCCACAGCGAAAACGGACCTGAATTTGTACCATTCCGACCTACAGGGAAGCTTGCGGACCTCCCTGTAAACTGTAAGCTTGCGGACCACCCGAACTTGAAAAGATTTATGTCATCCAGACATGTTGGTTCTTCAAGAATTGACATTTAGTTGAATGCATCGTAACATCATTGCAATAATTGCCGATTTAACAGTGTGTGATTCGAAGAACAAAGTTGATTCCTTGCAGAACAAGGGTGACCCGCCTTGTGCTACTACTGCTACTGCTACTGCCGCTGCTACCACTGCTGTTACCGCTGCTACTAGTAGTAGTAGTAGTAGTAGTAGTAGTAGTAGTGGTAGTGGTAGTGGTAGTGGTAGTGGTAGTGGTAGTGGTAGTGGTAGTGG